CTCCAAGGACCACTCTGGCTGCACTTCTTCCAAAACAAATCTATTGGTTCTTTTGGCAGCCCATGGCACTTTTAGTATTCTCCTCCAAAATCACAATTCAAAGGCATCAAATCTTCTACGATCTTCCTTATTCACTGTCCAGCTTTCACATCCATATAATGTTATTGACAAGGTTGTATTCTTTCACCATACTTATTCAACCTGTATGCTGAGCACATAATACAAGAAGCTGGGGTCTATGAAGAAAAACATGGTGTCAGGATTGGAGGAAGACTCATTAACAACCTGCAATATGCAGATGATACAACCTTGCTTGCTGAAAGTGAAGAGGACTTGAAACATTTACTGATGAAGATTCAAGAGCACAGCCTTCAGTATGGGTTGCATCTCAATGTCAGGAAAACAAAAATCCTCACCACTGGACCAATAAACAACATTCTTATCAACGGAGAAAAGATTGAAGTTGTCAAGGACTTCATTCTTCTTGGATCAACTATCAACACTCGTGGAAGCAGCAGTCAAGAGATCAAACGACGTATTGCATTGGGTAAATCTGCTGCACAGGAACTTTGAAAAGTTCTGAAGAGCAGAGATGTCAGCTTGAGGACTAAGGTGTGCCTGACCCAAGCCATGGTATTTTCTTCTTGCCTAGAACTTCCTAATCGTCTTGATACCTCTCCTTTTGTCCTAGCATCAGATGGTCATGAACTCTGGGCCGGAAACTCCCATCAGTTACACTTCCGTCTCTGTATTCTGGTGGTGTGAACTCTTCATCTCTCAAAATCTGAAATCTGGAGGAGGGATGTTGGGGATGACCTAAGGATGTAGCAATAGATTGAATCGACAAAGAAATGATGGCAGAGAATAGCGAGAAGTTCACCAAACCTGTCTCCCCTTGCTCTTGGACACAGAGCAAGACCCCATGCCCTAGCCATCTCTCCAACGGGCCATACTGAGTTCTGGCCAGTGGAAATGGGCAGAAGTGATGTGCACCATTTCCTGGCTTGGTACATAAACTCCTCCCTTGTGGCCCCTCCTTGTCGTCCTTATTTACTTCTTGGGAAACTAGATGCCAATGTCCATAAAACCCTAAAAGCCACAGTCTCTATATAGTATTTATCTAACCAAGATCTCTGAAATGAAATAGAAAGCCTTCCCAAATTGTGCCACCCATTGGAATTCATGTTAGCAAGAAATGTGTCTATCGAATTAAGCCATGGGACTTCACAGGTTTTTCTGTTACAGATGCTAGCATTACCTTACCTGAAATTGTAGCCTGTTGGTTGGTTACGTGCCGAGGCTGTAAATCTTTATGGGGCAGAAAGCCTCATCTTTCTTCCGTGGTACAACTGGTGGTTTTGAACTGCTGTCCTTGAGGTTAACAGCCCAACTCATAACCACTTTGCTACCAGTGCACCTTAACTGCAAGTAAGAAAGATGGTTCTAAGTTCCTCAAGTATAAGAAATCTATTTCCATGTATTGCTTTGACTACATAGGTCAGATTGAAAATTACATACACCAAAGATTTTTCTACCTGATATAAAAATTCTAGATGAAATGAAACTACATGGATTCATTTAAATATATCTATGAAACTACAGTTGCATTTATATCTCTTATAGAACTCTTGTGGGATTTTTAGTATTTTTCACTTTGGGATGGTACAAAAAATCTTATTGGATAAATTATAAAGATGCATAAGAAATTATTTATTTGAATATAAATATAAACAGACTATACTAATATTTTTATCCTGGAATTTTCTTCTGCCAATAATAACAGAGCAACAATTCTGAAAATTAAATTCATGAGGATTATTATTCTCTCTTTGTCACTGCTATTTTAACATAAGATTATAAATAAATGCAAGGTAATGTTCTGAAAAGACAGAGACTTGACTTACTGTTTTTGTTAATATTTTAGTACCCTGATAGGGCCAGATTATTATGAAGAGAGAAAATTTAGGAGGAGGGGAAACCCCAAAACATCAAGTAGAACAAGAGTCAGCATTTTTTCCCTACAAGTATCCTTCAAATAGAGACAAATATTAGATACAAGTCCCTAGCTGGCCCTGGTTTATTTAGTGTGGTATTTAATGTTTAATGGCCCTTCTTCTATTTCTGTGTCTCTAGAAATGTCCCATATTAAAATATTATGAGTAATAATAGGGCTCTCGACTTAAAGTTAAGTCTATAATTTCCATTAATACCAAAATTAAAATTCCCTCATCATTATTAATCTGCATCCTCATTATTATTTAATTTATAACTTTGAGAATTGTTCTTTGCTTTATTTATTTATATTTAGTCAAATTTTTAAATACAGTTTATTATTTTCCATGTGGACTTTCAACAAGGGAAACGAACATTCTGCTCTGTGTAACAGAATTTGTCCTCAATCATAAATGAGGAAATTGGCATTCTGGCTCAAATATTAGATTCTCTTTATTTAAGTACCTGTGCACCTGTTCCTAAGAGAGTAACCAGCAGGAAGCACTGACCAAATCCAATTTCTGGACTTGCAGCGTGGCCAGGCCTGAATTTGGGGGATATTCCAAGGCACTGCCACTCTCTGAGAGTCTGCCTGGCTGAAATCTTTTAACTCTTGCCTGTAAACTATAAGGTACATTTCATTTACACATATCATCAGGACAACTCTGCTCCAAACTAGGTCTACAAAGTTTCTGATTTGTGTATCTGAGCCCTCATAGAGCTATGAATGTTTTTATGTCTCCCCCTTTTGCTAGAATAGAAATTAAATGGAGGAAGGATACATTTGGACTGGAATGTTATCTAAGTACCATCCCAAACAATGTAGTGTGCACTCGTTTTTAAATACCTTGTTTTTCTCTGTGATTCACGTGGAGGGCCTCCACACTCAGATGAGTAAAATTCACAAGGGAATAATCACACTTTTCTCTAATAAACTAGAGTTTGGCTTTTTCTCCCAGTTCTCCTCAAAGTTTCTAAGTAATTTTTGTATCTCTTCCTGAAGGAGGAGAGGGAGTGAGCTGTGAGTATCTAAGTAACTAAAGGTATCAGATTAGTCAGAGTCACTTCCAACTCTAATTTAGTCCTACCATACTCCCAAATCTCCAACATTTTGCAAATGAATGTTTTTTCATTTACAAATTGATTTATTATGGGAGAAAAAAACCTGGATTTTCTAAGAAGCATATTATGCAAAAATATATTTAAGGGTTCTTCACACAATATACGGAGCTCTGGTAGCATAGTGGTTACAAATTGGACTGCTAACCTCAAGGTCAGCAGTTTGAAACTACCAGATTGTTCCATGGGAGAAAAAGAGACATTTGGCTCCCATAAAGATTTACAGCCTCGGAAGCCCTGTACAGGGTTTCTATGAGTCGGAACTGACTCCACAGTACTTAACCACAACAAAACACACAATATGGAGTCCTGGTGTGGCACTGTGGGCTAATGTGTCAGACTGCAGTCGTTTGAACTGCAAGGTCGGTGGTTCAAGCTCACCAGCTGCTTGTTGGAAACCCTATACAGGGTTGCTATTGGTTGGAATTGACTCAGTGGCACTTAACAACAACACACAATATATGGACTTCTGTGGAATCAGCACTGGACTACAAACCATAAGGTCAGCAGTTCAAATCCACCATCTGCTCCTTGGAAACCATATACAGAGTTGCTATGAGTTGGAACCAACTTGATGGCACTTACAAACAACAACATAGACAACGTCAGAGTCTTACTGCAGTGCTGTAGGATAAACACTGGGCTGCTAAATACAAGGTTGGCCGTTCAAATCCACTAGTACTCCTTGGAAACCCTATACTGGGATGCTATGAGTCAGAACCAAGTTGACAGCACTTAACAACAGGCAATATGAGGTGATGACCAAGTAGACAGATTAGTTGACTGGGCAGTGAGTGCACATTTAAGAGTTAGACTTAATAGCATTATTGAGTTACAATTCACAGACCATACAACTAACCCCGTTAAAATGTACACATCAGGGAGTGGTTTGTAGTATAGTCACATAGTTATGTAACAATTCCCACTGTCTAATTCTGGAATGTATCTCATCACTCCAGAAAGAGACCCTATATCTGTTAGCAGTCAGTCCTAGTTCCCCCAGCCCCCGCTTTCCCCCAATCCATCTCCTGGCAACAACTAATCTACTTTTGTCATTCTGGATTTGTCTGCTGTGGACAGTTCATATAAAAGGAATCCTACAATATGCAGCTTTTTATGTCTGTCTTCATTCACTTACCATAATGTCTTCAAGATTCATCCATACTGTAATGTGCACTGATATTTCTTTTGATTTCTGAAGAATGAAATTCTATTGATTGTTATGAAATAGAACAGAAACCAAGCTGACGTCTTGTTGTTGAGTGCCTTGGAGTTAGTTCTGACTCATAGCGACCATGTATAGGATTTCTGAGGCTTTAAATCTTCTCTAAAGAAAGCCTCATCTTTCTCCCTCAGAGCGGCTGGCAGGCTCGAACCACAGACTTTGTGGTTCAAAGTCCAGTGCTTATTGCATGAAGCCACCATGCTCCCAAGCTGACTACTTATATTATGTTTATTAATGAACACTACTTACAATTACTCTAACACTGTAGAATCTTTGAGTTTGAAAACTTTTTCTTCTTAAAGTTCCACATTACAAGAAGAATGTTGTATCGTCTGTTGGTAATTCAGAATTGTGAGATGAGAGTTAATAATTAGTATAAGCTTGTCATACAACTGGGTTATCATCTTGAGAAAGAGATGTGAAGAATCTCTTCACACCACGTTCAAAAGTACAATCATAGGCTTGCTCTTCAGAATCAGGTTGCTTTTTGAAAAACAGAAAAGTCAACAAACACCCAGCTGCTTTGATATGAAAAAAGAAATAAATAATGTTTGTCCCTGATGTGGACGTCTTCTGTGCCAGCCATTTGAAATATAGAGAGTGCTGACATGTGCAGAATGAAAATCCAATACCTTCACCATTAACCTGTAGTCTTGTGTTGTAGGCACGCAAAAAGTCCCTTTGGACGGTTGAACCCACTGAAGGCATGATCCCTCCGGAATCTCAAGTTCAGCTGGAGCTGACTGCCAACCTGAATGACACAGTGACATTCAAAGACACAATCGTTTTGGAAATCGAACATAGCAGCACCTACCGGATCCCTGTCCAGGCATCAGGAACTGGTTCCACCATCGTTTCAGATAAGCCCTTTGCCCCAGAACTCAACTTGGGAGCCTATTTTAGGTAGGGAGATATCATGGACCAACTTTTATAGATACCACATATGTTGTATAAGCTGAGCCTCATCTCCACTTTAGAAAATTATGTTTTTAAGGAACTAGAACCACCACAGTAGTCCCTCTCTTTTCTCATTCCCACTTTCCCCCCCTCCTCTGCCCATCAGCGACAAAAGGAGGCTTCATTCTCCAAGTTAAATTTCTGTGACAAATTCAGAATGCCCACCATAACTTGGCCTCTTTGATTCCAAAACACTGGGCTTCCCACTGCATGAACATAGGAAATACAAATGTATCTTAGTGGTAACCTAAGTAAATAATGCTATCGCGTCAATTCCAACTCACAGCAACCCAATAGATTAGAGTAGAACCGCCCTCTGGGGTTTCCAAGGCCATAAACCTTTACAGAATCAGACTGCTACATCTTCCACCCTAAGAGCAGCTGATGGGTTCAAATCGCTGATCTTTCGGTTTGCAGCCCAGCATTTAGATGCTCTGCCACCAAGGCTCCTTAAAGAACACTTAGGAAAGCAAAAGTGTACTGCAAATGTGTCTTATCAGGTATTACAGAGCCGTAGCTAATTTTTAGGTACAGCCTCTCAACCATATCGCCACAAAAGTGAGGTTATTGCAATTGGCTGCAACTGACCACCCAGGAAAAGCTAAAAAATCTACATATTTAAATAAAAGGTAACACAGTATAAACCTTTCTAAGCAGAACAGTCTAACTTTCAATCTGAAAATGCATCCGGTTTGAATGTTAAGGGTGGAGGAGATATAAGGGAACGTGTCGGTCTTCAGGAGGGTAGAAATTGGCATTGGCACACACGAGCCAGGTGAGTTGTACCCATCACATGTAAGCCTGAACAGATCTCAAAAGAGTGCTCCTGCCTTCTGGTCTAACAGACCCACAAACTAAGGGGAAGCACTGTGTTTGGAAACATGTGACTGATGATCAACTAAGCACCCTCCACATTATCCGCCCTGGTTTCCTTTCCTCTCTGTACCACATATGAAACATGGAACTTCATTTTAAAACCATCATCAAATAATGGGCAAGTCAGATAGCCAACTTAACATATGTTTTCAGAGAAGTATTTACAGTGTTTTTGCCAACAGATTAAAAATTGTAATCTCTGCCTATCTGTGGTCCACAGTTAGAATCCTGAGAGAAGCCTATATCATGTGTGTGTGTGTGTGTAGTTTTGGTGTTGTGCTTTAACGTAAGCACTGGACTGCTTAGTGCAAGTCAGTGATTCAAAGGCCACCAGCCATTCCTTGTGAACCCTATACAAGGTCACTGTGAGTTGGAACCAACTCCACAGCACTTAACAAAAACAACAATAGTATGTATATACACAAGCATACACATCCATGTATGCAAAGAAGCTTCGAAAAGTTCTTGGAAATTTTTCGTTGTATTTTAATTGCATTTACCCTGAACTCTTCCCTGAAAGTATTTCTTTGCATTGGGGTGCAACCCATACTGAAGTCTGTAGTCTTTGATCTTCATCAGTAAGTATTTTATGTCCTCTTTACTTTCAGCAAATAAGGTTGGATCATCTGAATATCACAGATTGTTAATGAGTCTTCCTCCAATCCTGATGCCACATTCTTCTTCATAGAATCCAGTTTCTCAGATTATTTGCTCATCGTACAGATTAAATAAATAAAGGTGACAGAATTCAAACCTGGCACACACCTTTCCTGATTTTAAATCATTCAGTATCCTCTTGTTCTATTCAAATGACTGCCTCTTGGTGTACATACAGGTTCCTCATGAGCACAATTAAGTGTTCTGGAATACCCATCCTTCACAACATTAGCCATAGTTTGTCATGATCCACACGGTCAAAAGCCTTTGCATAGTCAGTAAAGCACAGGTAAACATCTTTCTGGTGTTCTCTGCTTTCAGCCAAGACCCATCTCACATCAGCAAGGATATTTCTTATTCCATGTCCTTGTCTAACTCTGGTTTAAATCTCTGATAAATCTCTGATAATTTGCTGTTTTTGAATCATCTTCAGCAAAATTTTATTTGTATGTGTTCTTAATGATATTGTTCAATGAGTTCCACATTCTGCTGAGTCACCTCTCTCTGGAATGGACATAAATATGGATCTTTGACAGTTAGTTGGCCAGTTGGCTGTCTTTCAGAATTTGTGGCATAAATGAATGGGTGCTTCTAGTGCTGCATCAGTTTGCTGAAATTTTTCCGTTTGTATTCCATCATCTCCTGGAGCATACCTTTAGTTCACTTTGAACTTCTTCCTTCACTACAATTGACTCTTGATCATATGCTACCTCTTGAAATGTTTGAACATTGACCATTTCTTTTTGGTATAGTTACTCTATGTATTCTGTCCATCTTCATTTGATGATGCTTTCTGTATCCTTCAATATTTTCCCCATAGAATCCTTCAGTATTTCAAGTTGAGGCTTGAATTTTGTCTTCAGTTCTTTCAGCCTGAGAAATGCTGAATGTGTTCTTCCCTTTGTACATTTCATTATAATGCTTCTTTCTGTCTTCCTAGAGCTTCCCTTTGAAATTTTCTGTTAAGCTCTTTTAACTCCTCATTTCTTCCATTGACTTTAGTTTCTCCATACTGGATAGCAAATTTCAGAGAGTCTTCTAACATCCATTTTGGCCTTTTCTTTTTTGTCATCTTAATGATCTTTTGTTTCCTTCCTGAATGTTGTTCTTAGTCGTGATAAATGGACTGAGCACTGTTTCATTGTGTTTATAGGGTTTCTGTGAGTTGATGGCACCTAACCACACACACACACGAGTATATCCCAGACATCTAAAAACATGTCTGAATCTCCTCCAAGATATTTAACATTGCTGATAGAGCTCAGCTCTGGACAAGTAGGGGCTGAATCTCTCTTGTTCAGTGTCTACTAGAGCAAGCAATTTTGATGTTGTTAGGTTGCCATCAAATCAGTTCTAGCTCCTAACAATCCTTTGTACCACAGAAAGAAACATTGCTTGGTCCTGTACCATCCTCACAATTGTTGTTATGTTTAAACCCATTGTTACTGCCACTGTGCCAATCCATCTCATTAAGAATCTTTCCCTTTCTCCATAAACTTCTACTTTATCAAGCATGATGTCCTTTTCTAGAAACTGGTCACTCCTGGCTTCTAAGGAACATTTTGGCTATACTTTTTCCAAGACCAACTTTTTTATTCATCTGGTTGTCCTTTCTATAAATATTCTTTGCCAGTACCATAATGCAAAGTCATCAGTTCTTCAGTCATCCTTACTCATTGTCCAGTTTTCACATGCACATGAAGCAACTGAAAAGACTATGGCTTGGGTCATGCTCACCTTAGTCCCCAAAGTGACAGCTTTGCTTTTTTATACTAAAGAGGTATTTCACTGCATATCAAATGCAGTATGTCATTTGAGCTCTTGACTGCTGCCTCCATGAGCATTGATTGTGTATCTAAGTAAAATGAAATCTTTGGCAACTTTAATATTTTCTCTGCATGTCATGAAGCTGCTTATTGGTTTATTTGTGAGGTATTATCCATACTGAAAGCCATAATCTTTGATCTTCAACAGTAAGTGCTTTAAGTCCTCTTCACTTTCGGTAAGCAAGGTTGTATGGTCTGAGTATTGCAGGTTGTTAATGAGTCTTTCTCCAATCCTGATGCTTCATTCTTCTTCATGTAGTCCAGCTTCTCAGATTATTTGCTCAGCACACAGTTTGAATAAGTATGGCAGAAAGTACAACCTTGATGCACATCTTTCCTGATTTTAAACCATGTGGAGTCAGCGTGTTCCATTTAAATGGCTGCTTCTTGGTCTATATAGACATTCACATGAACACAACTAAGTGTTCTGAAATTATTATAATTTGCAATGTTATTCATAATTTGTTATGCTTCACACAGTTGAATGTTTTTGCATAATCAATTTTATTACATCTGGTAAGATCCACATGTATAGTCACCATTAATGTTGTTGGAAAGGGGTATTTCCAAAAAATAGATCATTGATATTGCAAATTCTATCATGCAATCTCCCACATCATTTCTGTAACTAAGGCCTTATTTTCTAATAGCTGGTCCTTCTTCTGCTTCTAACTTTTGTATTCTAATTGTCAGTAATTTTCAAAATATCTCAATTACATGTTTATCAATTTCAGACTGTAGAAGTTGTTTAAAATCTTCAGTTTCTTTATCTTTGACATTAATGGTTGAGGTGTAAATTTAGTCATACTCATAGTCTTAGATGTGGTGTTGTAGGGTAAGCACTGTACCACAGGTCGGTTTGAACTGCAAGATCAGCACTTTTTACAACGAATGGCATGTCATTTCTCTTTGAGTTTTCTTTCCCTGCATAGTAAACTGTGTGATTGTCCAATTCAGAGTGACCATTGCCTGTCCATTTCAGCTTGCATGTTATATAGGGTTTCTGAGGCACAGCCAATGAGTTTGAATCGCCGACCTTATAGTTAGCTTATCCTACAGTGCCACACTAGGTCTCTTTCAGCTCACTAATGCCTAAGGATATCAGTCTTCCAGTGTTCCATTTCATTTTTCCTAACTTACAATATTCCTTTTTTCATATTTCATATATTCCCTGTTCCAATTATCAGTAGTTGCTTACAACTGTTTCTTTTCATTTTTGAGTCAGGCCCCATTAGGAATGTCCCTAAAGCTTTACCCCATTCACATCACTCAGGAAACCGCTCTTCCTCAGATGTATTGTGAGTACCTCCCCTCCTGAAGGGCTCATCTTCTGGCACTGTATCAGACAGCATTCTACTGCTGTCATAAGCTTCTGACCGGCCATTCTTTTCAGCAGTAGATCACCACGTCCTTCTTCCTAATCCATCTTAGTCTGGAAGCTCCACTGACACTTGTCCACCATTAGTGACCCTACTAGTGTTTGAAATACCTGGGGCATAGCTTCCAGCATCACAGCACCATGCAAGGCACCATAGGGCCACAAATTGACAAATGAATGGTGGCTCAGGAGATTGTCAGTAGATATGTGTGGGATCGATAATTAAATGAATGAATGAACGAACAAATGAATAAAGTAGAAGCATGTTTAAAGCTCATCAGTTCCAATGGCTCCCCAGCCTGATAAGGCTTATCTACCTTCCCTGCCATCTCTTCTTGATCATATGCTATTGTGTTGTTTCTCTTCGAAGGTTCCCTTAGATTGAACCCAAAGCATGATATTATACTCAGTCAGTACAGATTTCATCAACATAACTTGAAATTTGCTTTTCCTCTAGTAGGTGTTTTGCTGTCCTTTGACTCTTCATAATGATTTTTCACAAAATAGAGTAATTTTCACATGAATTGCGTCTTTTCCCAGAAGATGTAGTGTGCTTCACCTTCTGGAAAAGACCAAGAATGGATGGACAACTTTGTCACAGCCCTTAGCTGGTGATGGTAACTCTGGGACCAAACCAAGGTCTTTGGCTTTGAGTCTGTGGATTCCTTGAGTAGATGATGCCCCTTTGTTTCATTCCTGGTAATTCCCAGGACTATCATGATGTAGTCTCCCGGCATTTTTTCAGAAGTAATGTTTCATTTCAACTTTCAAATGAATAATTCCTAAAGATATGTAGCAGAATAGAGCATCCCAAAATCAAGTCCTCTGAACATCTATCTCCTTTTTTCCAGCCTGGATACCTTTTATTACCGCTTCAAGTTGGCCAACAAGGGTCGTCGGGTCCAGCAGCTTTTCTGGATGAACTATGGTTTTTATCCCCAGGACAAGCCGAGCAAGAAGAGCCTGGCTAAGAAGGGCTCTGGTGCTGACTCCCAGGTCAGGGACCCTCATGGCCCTGTGTTTCAGCTTCACCCCGTCAGGATGGAGTTGTACCCAGGCCAGACAATCGATGTAATACTCGAAGGCTATTCTGCAACTCCCAGGGTAAGGGACAGTACTTTTAGGAACTATTGTTCTAAATAAACCTTGGCTCTAGGCAGTTCAAACCCACTAACTGCTCCCTGGGAAAAAGATGAGGCTGTCTGCTCCCAAAAGATTTACAGTCTCGGACACCCTACCTCAGCTCTCTGTAAGTCAGAATCAACTCCGTGACTGTGGTTTAGAGAGATTATTTAGTAAAATCTTTAGACGTTTATCTTAGGAAAGAATGTGGCATCTCAAGGATTACATACAGCCCTGAGTTACCATGGCAGCACCGATTGCTTTCAAGATTCAGCTCTGCTCCGTTTGCTGTATGTTTCTATAGCTACCAGGAACCCAACCTTAAAGTACCAGATAAAGCAGGTTCTCATCTCCAGGGTCAGCAGTCACCAGCCAGAAAGTCTCTGACAGAGGAGCATCCAGCTTTCACCCAAAACTGACAATACTGTGTTTCTGCCTGTGTCACCAAATTAGAGGAGTTGATACTGAATTTTCTCCTCATTAAACAGGAAACAATAAGGGATGTATCTCCCAGAAGACAAGATGGAAAAACTAGTCCATTACTTTAGTTCCTCTAGGGTTACAGATTCTACTTTATTACATTTATATTATTTCTTCACAGAGCATTTTCAGGTAAAATTATCCTCTGTGCAAAAAAAAGAGGTTATTTCTCACTGTTGAGTATATAATATGCTTTCTGTATCTGTTATTCAGAGAGGTTCAGTCAACATTTATTGAGTATGTGTCATGTGCCAAGCACTGTGCTTGGCACAAGATGAATAGAACATAGCCCTTGATCTCAAAACACTTGCAACCTCTTGGAAGGACCCAATGACAACATGGTTACCAAGAGTCAACTATATTTTTAAAGACATTAAATCTGAGCTTCTAGAAGAATAAATTTAGTTAAAGCTTTACTAAAAGCTTCCCTAAATGTCCTTCCAGATTATTCTACATAATTGAGAAGAGATTTGAATTCATTAACATCACAAACTACAGCATTTTTTCAGCAAACCTAAGCTATTCATGATATGTTTCCTTTGGCCCCTTCTACTTTATAAGGAGCTCCGGTAGCATTGTGGTTATGAATTGGGCTGCTAACCTCAGAGTCAGCTGTTTGAAACTGCCAGCTGTTCCTCAGGAGAAAGATGAGGCTTTCTGCTCCCTTAAAGATTTACAGCCTCGGAAACTTGTACAGGGTCGCTATGAGTCAGAATCAACTCCACGTCACATAACAACAACTTTATAAAAAGCTTCGCCTGTTGGGTCCAAAGAAAATAATTTCTATAGTGCAGTTTTCTTTAGATATATACATAGAAATAGGAAGTCAAAAATTTCACCCAGTTTGGTAAGAAATCATTTAACCAACCATTGAACTTGAACCTCCTTAAAGGACTTTATCCACCTGTTCATCTCCATTATTTATACATTGCTCCTAACCCAGCTCCTGATGTATAGTAGATGATCCATACATACTGGATGAACTGAATGTAAATTGATTGTATCCTCAAGGGCAGTAAGAAATAAACATAGGATCCACCAAGAGTATGATTAACCGGTCAGACTTTGTGTCACAGAGAAGAATCCTTAAATGTGCCAGTCAGAAAAATAAATCCTTCCCAAGAGTATCCAAGCAGGTAGTTGTAAATCAGTTTGCTCTCTGTAGGCCATTACATTTCTGAGGTATGATTGTTCCAGATTTGCTGGTATCTTTTGTCTGCAGATAGTCAAAGAGATGTTGGTATGCCATGCCATCGTTGGAACACAAAAGGGAAAGAGTCTGGTGATGACTGTGAATGTCATCTGTGAATTCATTGCACCTCTTATCCAGCTCTCCACGAAGCAGCTCATATACCGACTGGAGAAGGTCAGTGGAACATTACTGGGAAGGGCTGGGCGCCCTGATGGACGGTCAGCATGTTCACAGTTTCCATTTGTAAGCTAAAATAACAGGACATTTGTTACATCCATTACCCAGCCAATGTTTTTGAAGCTTCAGAGGCCAGTACACATTAAAATAAAAATGGTGAGCTTAAATCTATAATCCTTTGAAATGTAAATTTCTATGGAAATTCTACTTCCATTATTCTTGATGCATAAGATCAATGTGAGGGGTGTTCCAGTGCACTGCAAATGCATTTTAGTCAACCATTCAATTCTAACTAGGCAAAATAGCACCAAAGTATAGAAAGAGTTGGAGTAAAATTACCAATAATTATAATAATACTGTTTATTGAGTAATATGGACTAGGCATTAGCGTAGTGGTTACAAATCAGGCTGCGAACTGCAAGGTCAGCAGTTCGAGACTACCAGCTGCTCCTCAAGAGAAAGAAGAGGTTTTCTGCTCCCGTAAAGGTTTACAGCCTCAGAAACCCTGTATAGGGTCTCTATGAGTGGGAACCAACTCCACAGCACATAACCACCAACCACCACCAGGCATTGTGTCAAGTTCATGACATACAATTTCCCAGTTGTCCTTTGTGACAACCCTATACAGTAGGTTCTCTTGTGATTCCCATGATACAAATGAGGAAACTGAAATACAAGTTAAGCTATTATGGAGATCAGCTAGCACGGCTTCAGAATCATCAACTTACACTATTTGGTTCATACTCTTTTCTGGGTCTACACCTTAACGTGGCCAGTGGTTGTGGTTGTGTGTAGTCAAGTCAGGTCCTGGTCATAATGATGCAATATAGGGTTTCCAAGAGTATAACTCTGTCTGGGAGTAGAAAGTCTCATCTTTCTTATACAGAGTACCTGGTAGATTCGAACTGCTGACCTTGCAGTTAGTAGCCCAGCTCATAATCCACTATACTACCAGGGTTCTTTAGGGCAAATAATAAAGGAATGAGGAAGGGGAGAGGGAACGGGGACAGTGAAGAGTGGGGAAAAGATCACAGTAGAACTTGATCTACTCCTAAGCAGGCTTCCAATCATAGACATCTATGGTCAAAGCTAAGAGACTAGTCCAGGTCACAGATTATAAAGAAATGATTCAATTTTAATTATTTTAATTGCAATGCTCCGATGAAGAAGTCTGAGGTGCTATAAGACCACAGATTCCGGGGACACCATGTCTTGTTTGTACGTTGGGTCTTGGACAGCTTCCTTGGGGAAGTGTTTCAAGTTGAGACTTGAAGGAAAAATAGAAATGAATATGGTGACAAGGGAGACAAAGACATTTACAGACCTGAGTTAGGAAAGAGTCTGGGTTAGGAAGCAGGTGATAAGCATAAAGAACCTGAAGGCAACCTTCGATGGAGAACAGTGACAGGGGCCAATAATGACATGAAGTCATTCTAGGGAGACTTCGTTTTTTTGGAGCTCTTGCAGGGCTCCAGGGAGGAGGGCGATTTATTCATTAAATCACTCACATTGTTTTCTGCCTGGACTATCTATTAAAACCGACCATGTGGCAGGATTCCTGGTGTGGTGGTGTAGGATAAGCCCTGGACTGCTAACTACAGGGTCAGTGATTCAAACCCACCAGCCACTCCTCAGACACCCTCCCTACACAGGGTCATTATGAGTCAGAATTGACTTCACAGCACTTACCACCACAGGTGCCATCCTGTGTCAGGTTCAACAGACAAGTGGGGAAGGTGGACATGGAAGAGGCAGGTGTGGGTGTCAGCTACAGGTTGTTATAGGGACCTTGACAAGCTTCACGAGACATGCACAATCAAAGTACTGTCAGAGTTCCTGCTACCACTTTTAGGCTTTCATGTCTCTGTTTTGTGAAATTTTCTCTCTCTCTCTCTCTCTCTTTTTATATTATCAGGAATACATACATATTTATTGGCAACAGCTTCTCTGAATTTGCTGGTGTCATATTTTCTCTGAACAACTATATGAATTCAGTGAATATGTATTTAATAGCTATTTTATGCAAAGCATTATAATGAATGTTAAATCTGCAGCTTGGTTTCTTATTAGCTTTTTTATTTTTGAGCCATAAATATGTGTAATAATCCTCCTTTTATTTCCCTCTTTAAATCCTTGTCTTGTTCTTAGAGAACAAACAGATTCTTGTTTAAATGCCTACTGTTTACTTATATCACTAGATTAAAACGTGAGACTATTTTTAATTTGGCAATCACTTCTTGCTGAATTTTTAAAAAGAAATCAAGTCATAACTTCCTGTCTGTGTGTTTTCATCCTTCTCTCCTCCCTCCCAACTATCAGAAGTTTGAAGTCTCCCATTAGTTATTGCTGTGTGCTGTCAAATTGAGTCCCATTCCTAGAGACCCTATACGACACAGTAGAACTGCTTTCATAGCATTTCCTACCACTGTATTTTGTCCTTCTTCATTTCCTGCTCACACTGAATTTGTTTCAGGGACACTGAAGAAATGCAGCTTCCATCCTCAGCGTGTGCATAGGACCCTGCCAGGTGTCATGATCCAGCTTTAGTTGTGCATCCCTAATTATCTATTTTGTCGCACTGTTTGCGGCTCAGGACAACATAGACAGGTCTCACAATCCAGCATTCATTGTGCATCCCTCAGTTATCTATTCTGTCGTCCTGTTTGCGGCTCAAGGCAGTGTATCTGAGTTCTAATACATTCAAATATAACTATACCAACCCTGCCGAGGGAGAAGAATTTCTCGATAACTCTCCCCAGGTTTGATCTACTTTGTAACTCTTGCACCATTCATAAGCCTCAGAGATGAAGCCACATCTCTGTGTTATTAAAAAAGGTCCGTTGGAACAATCAGCCAGTTTGTTTCATGAACTTTTAGCAGCTGGTTCTATCTGCTGATATTTGTGGAAACAAGCAACTCAGAGAGAGGTGGGTCATTTAAAATAGAACAGGTTTTCTGTGCTCAGCTTCTCATCACTAACCTCTGAATGGAATGGCCTCATGCCCAGCCATCCAAGTGTGGCTCCTTCACTTCAAAAGTTACCTTCAGAGAAGGTTGCTGGGTGACACTTCACCAGCCCAATGCCATCTGTCATTCTACAGGCATACAATGCTGCTTCATCCCTCAAACTGTGGTCTGCTTTTGGTAAATACAGTGTTTCTATCACCATGGGAGAGAGAGGCAAAGTAAGGCTGGCATCTCATGATAAATGCCCGATTGAACCCCTGAAAGAACTCCGGTGTCCGGAGGGAACGAATAAAGTACAACCAAGGCAGGAGGCTCTCACACAGCCCAGAGACCCAGGAACCACAGTGAAAGGAAAACTGCTGGGCACAGATTCTGAAGATGGAGTCCTATCAGACTACAGAGTCAGGCAGATCTAACTGAAATAGGAACCCAGAGACAAAGCAAACTCAAGCTAGGTGACCTAGGACCAAGGAGCTGTAAGATGTGTCCACCCTAGGAATGACTGGAGGGAGGTTCTCTGTGGAGGTCAGGTAGCAAGGCTTTGGTTACATCCTACTGATATTGAAGTCCCCCCACACCTTATTTCTAGGGTAGATAGGAAATCATGCAGTTCCCAACAAAAGAATCAGAAAACTCCAGTCTAACTAAAAACTTCTGGCTTAAGATCCACGTCTAATGCTTTCTTCCAGTTGAAAAATTCAATCTGATAAATGTAACAGGGCAAAAAAACAACAACAAACAAACAAAGAAAATCAACTATCCTAATGTTATCAGGAAAATTTCATAGGAAATCGTTGTGAACATACGATAATATAAAAAGATATGTACCCTGGACAACATGGATTTAAAGTGCTCACGCTCACCACAATAGCGGCAGGGGAAAAACCCTGTGTATAATTGAGCCTGGACAGTTGAAACCTACATTGCTCAAGGGTCAGCTGTAAATCATATGCAGATTTTCAGTTGTAAGGGAGGTCGGTGCTCCTACCCCCCACGTTGTTTAAGGATGAACTGTATATTTGTCATTTGGGTATTTTAAGCATGGAAATAAAATATTGTCCTATGGAGAAAACGTTTTTTATTCATTATAATGATACCTGGCTTCTCCCAAAAGATCGTATCACAAATTTATTACACTTTACTTTATGACACTGTGGAAACTTATAAAGTAGTAGTTCTATGCAGAGGCATGGCTTGTGTAGGGTTTTTCAACCAGGCAGTCAGATCTAATTTGTGTTTTCTGGATTATATAGGTTCATTTCTCAGTAACCCAGCCTAGGTTACAAAAGATTATCTAACTCTCTGCCAGAACATATATATGTTGTTGTTGTTAAGTGCCTTCGAGTCGGAGCCGACCCATAGCGACCCTGTACAGGGTTTCCGAGGGTGTAAATCCTTACGGGAGTA